TTCGCTGCAGACGGTTGGGCGTGTCAGGCAGTATGAGTGTTCACACCGTCAAAGCCGTTCTCTGCCTTCTTGTTGAAGCGCGCATGCGACAAAAAGTGGTAGAGTAATACGAACGATATGATACAGTCATATCATTTGCTCGCTTTAACAACTGGTGGAGAACGGGTTTGGCACCGCGCCAAACTCATCCCGCCTGACACGCCCAACCGTCCGCAGCGAACTACACTATACGTTTTTGGTCACTTGATCAGTTTTCATTATCATTAGTATTGTTCAGTTCAGTGTTCATTCAGGTGCCTCCTGATACATGGATGATACACTATACCGACAGCGTCCTTTTTGCTGTTTCAAAGCAGTCTGAAGTGCGAAGTGCAGTTCACTTTGGTGTAGGTTCATTTTGCACGACCTCGGTTCCGTAGAGCGAAATTCAAAAATGTTTTTTTATAGCTGAGCGCTGTGCGATTGGAGTTCTCAATAGTGAAAGGTGCATGTGAATGGCGACCACTGGGATTTGTGCCACTTTCACGTCGAGCTGCTCGTCTTCCATCCTGTCTAATCATCAATGAACGTGGTTTAATACGGGTTGTACAGAGTTCGAATAGGTAAGTTTTTGACACAGAACTCAATGTCTTCTTCCTCCTGCTCACTTCTCCGCCTCTCTGCAGTCAGCGGTTGATCACAAGCACTTGACATCTGCTTGATATTCGTGTGGTGTTTATCACTTGGCTGTACGGCTCCTATGAACGTGAGCCTCTTCATCCACCCAAAACTCATCCTATGAAAGTACTTATAGGATGTCATGATGTGTTAACAAATTTTCGCTTGACACAGGGAATTCTTGTCCTCTTTCTAGGGCGGAAGTACTTTTGTCTGATATTGTTAACTTTTTATTTTTAGTCCGCTTGAAAACGTCGCTGCTGAATTTCTCTTCCGAATTCCTAATTTTTCTCTCGTTTCAATACAACATGTGGCCAAACTTTGCTCCATTGATGCTCCGCAGCTTCAGGTATTTGTTATAGTTTTGGTTTTTCACTTTTCTGATTTTCCGGTTCGGAGGCTAAATTTGTTTTACTATCTCATTGCAAGTATTTCATTACCACTAGAAATCGATCTTTCCTTGAGTTTTTCTTTTATTTTGCGGATGAATATTTTGTGAGATGTTTACCCATTTTTCAGCGCAGTGTAATTCCAACCTTGCTGTCAGCACGTCGAGGAAAGGCTCTATCGCCACTTGATCTTTCCCGTCTACTTTCGATGGCCAAAACTGCTGAGGTTAGTTTCAACGCCGATCAGATTTGAGCCCATTTTCGATACTTTGCTTCATAGTCAGTAGCCTTTTCTATCTGTAGAAAACTCTTATTAACGTTGTGTCTTCAAGTGCTCCGCATTTGCATGGCAGGGTAGAGGTAGCAAGTGGAAAGGGGTGCAGCTATCATCCGCTTGTTTTGAATCCAGCCCCGAGTGCGTTCCTGTCTCAGCTTTCCCACCCTGAAAGTCGCTTACTTGACACCACATGCTCAGAGGAGGAGAGGTACCTCGAATTATGTCTCAGCTGGTCCTCACAGACCATTGCACAAGCCAAGCACATTTAAATCCACTACGATTGAAGATCTATTTCATGGCACAGGGCCAAAAAGGAGTGAGCTGAGCTGAACTGGCTGAGCGCGTTTTCTTTCGTGAAGTGGCCCTGATGAAGGGCGCCAAATAATAGTGTTGGTGGTGAATGGCCAACGTTTTCCTCGATGTTTCAAATTAAGTCAATATTTCGTCCTTTCCCGCAGGGAAGTATTCCATGAAGTAAACCGATATTCGTTTAGGTGGAAATGGAGAACCTGGTAGATTTGTTCGCCACCTATCAGCAAGAGGAACAGCTGTTGCCCGAGGTTAGCTTTTCAGTAACCCCGTTTTTTGTTTTGAATGCATGCTACAAAAGCAATTAAAAACGTATCAACAAGCAATATGTCTTTTGAAATATGTTTTTATCCTTGTCTTCGAGAGCAGGGTGTTTGTGATTTTAGTGCGTTCATACTTCGCAGCAGCTTTTGGAGCATTTTTAGCGTTTTGAGCGACTTGGAAAGTATAGGTAAAACCAGCGTTTTAAGCGTCTATCAGTGTTCTCAGCGATAATCGATGCCTATAGTTTCTGAGTCGCTCAAAATGCTGGGTGGATCGCCTTCTTGCCTTAGTGCTCAAAATGCTGAAAAGCTAAAGCTCAGAAAGCTGCCTCAGGTATGAACGCACGCTTACTTTCCACGTTTATCCCATTTTGGATTTCGTTATCAGATTTACCCTTGTGATTTTTGAACGTAGTGGGACAACGTTACTTCTGTCATATCGATAAATATGGGGGTACTTGACCGTGAGCTAATCACCCTTCCGAAAATATGAGATGCTCTACAGTTTTAGA